GCCATCACATATTGTGAATGCCAAGATGGTCTAGTTTTTTCTCGTGTTGATAGGCGGAGATCTCCATTACCAACCTCATTTGGCTCTTAATCTTCGTGCTCTTCCTTTAACTCAAACGAGTCATCCGAAGACTTCTCTATTTGTACTATAACCTTGTCCTTCATCAAGTTGTCATTTGTCTGCTCACTTTGCAGTTCATTTTCTACAAAGACTACATCTCTGCTAACAACAACCTTGTGGGAAGTGGGGTCCCACAAACGATACCCCTTCACATTGTTAGCATAACCCAAGAAGATATATTTCTTGGATTTTTGATCCAATTTTGTTCTTTCTTGAGTGTTGTACATCACGTACATAGGACAACAAAAAATACGTAAGGATGAATAATCAGTTGATTTACCTTTCCATAACTCAATTGGTGTGCTCAAACCAATGGCGGTTGACGGTGACAGATTTATAACATAACAGACAGTTTTAACCGCTTCTGCCCAAAAAGACTTGGCTACTCCAGCTATTCGCAACATAGCTCTACTTCTTTCCAAGAAAGTTCTATTCATCCGCTTTGCTATACCATTTTACTGAGGCGTATGTAGGACAGAAAATTGTCTGGTGATACCCTCTTACTAGCAAAATGCTAAAAATTCTTCGTCTACATATTCTCCTCCGTTTTCTGTCCTTAAGCACTTAATTTTTTTCTCAGTTTTAAGTTCTACTTATGCTTTGAACTCCTTGAACTGTGAAAACACATCTGACTTCTTCTTGATAGGGTACACCCACAATCTCCTGGAGTAATCATCGATGAACGATACAAAATATTTTGCTCCTCCGAGGGATAGTACTGACGATTCCCACACATAAGAATGAATCAAGTCCAATATGTGTTTACTTTTAGCAATCACTTTAGCAAACTTCAATCTATGTTACTTACTTATCACACAGTGCTCATAGAAGGGTAAACTAACCTCTTTAAGCCCGGGTAAGAGATTACGCTTTGTAAGGATTTTTAGACCACTTTCTAACATATAACCAAGTCTATGATGTCATATGATCACTACATCTTCCTGACTTGTTGTCGCAACTGATGCATCCACTTCTTGCAACGTATCTCCAAGTAGCACATACAAATTTACCACGATCTTCTTTGCCTTCATGACCACCAAACTCCCCTTCACCACCTTCAAGATCCCACCTTTAACATGAATCTTACACCCAAGGTCATCTAATTGCCTAATGGAAAATAGATTCTTCTTCAAGTCTTTCACATGTCGTACCCCTTGAATTGTGCGAACAGTACCATCAATTTTAATTTTGACGGTACCTAATCTAGTAATCTCCAATGCATAGTTGTTTCCCATGAAGACAAATCAGCCTGAGAATAGTTCATAAGTGTGAAACCAATCTCGGCGCGGAGTCATGTGCCATGTTGCACCTTAATCCACTATCCACTTGTCATGAAACTTCTTTTCACCATTAGAGCTAATTATGCTTCGCTCACCAGAATATCTCCATCTTCCGAGTTACTTACAACACAACCTTGTGAGGTTGATTCTTTAGAGTTGTTTCCTCCATTCTTCCTTTTCCAACACTCTTTTCTTGTATGCCCTTTCTTTCCATGAAAGTAGTCTTTGATTTTAGAACTCTTCTTACTTCGAGACCTCGATCTATCATTACTCGAGCCACGTTTTGTTGATCTTCCTCTCATTATCGTTAAAGCCTTTACTTATTTGGAATTTTTGCCCTTACTCATCCGCTTGGATTCTTCTTCATGAATAGTTCCAACGACATCCTCAAAGTGCATATTCCCATTAATATTATTATTTTTAATATTGATGATGAGTTGATCATACGAATCAGGTAAACTCTGAAGTAGAAGTTTTGCACGCTTATTTTCAACTATGTTGAAATCTGCCGCTGATAGTTGGGCAAACAAGGTATTCAAATGGTTGATGTGGTCCGTCACTGATGTGGACTCACTCATCCGAAAAGAATAAAGTTTTCTCTTCAAGAATATTCTTGTGTGAAGTGACTTCACCTCTATAGTTTAATGAAGGTATCTCAAATCTCCTTTGTAGTAGTCTTCTCCGTAACACTGGATAAAATCGAATCTGCCATTAATAAGTGCAAATTCGCAATAACATTGTCATTCATTTTTTTCCATTGTCGTTCATTCGTGTGTTCCACGGTTCTTTCCGCAATTGCATCAATATAATTGTCCTTCCTCAAAATTGCCTTCATCTTCAATTTCCACAATGAGAAATTACTCCCATTGAACTTCTATATCTTATATTTTGTTGTCATGGTTCCAAACCGACTTATGCAATCCTCACTATGAATAGTATTGCCTACTAGAACAACAAGGGTAGACCGTGAACCAGTACACCAGGTAAGTTCCCAGGAAAGAGAGATGGGTCACTAATGGATACGCTTAAATACCAAGCCTTTTCCTTGCCAGAACTTTTCCTAGACATACACTATCACATTACCAAATAATATCTAGTAACAAGAATAACTCTTTTATGATATGGAAGATCAGATTAACCATAACCATAGAACATACTAAGAATTCTCCAACACTATTCTAATGACTATGTAGCAGAAGACCAATATCACAACCTAGTGGCTCTGATACCACTGTTAGGTATCAGACAAAAGCATAAACACACACAACTAAAATAAAAAGATGAGAAAAATACCGACAAAAGAGAAAAGAGTAATTCCACTAATGAAAGAAATTACAACCCTTCTCTCTCTACCTCCAAGGAGGAAACAATAACACCCTCTCCTAAAAATAAAGGAAAAACAACTATAAGAGAACCTAAAAGGAGAAACTATTTTTCTCTCTTAATTTATCTCTCAAGTAGTAAAGCAGCAACAGAAAGAAAAGAAAGTAATTTTGGTGTGTTTTACAAGGTAAACACTGTGCTCCTTTAATAGCAAGAAAAGTAAGCACCAAACTAAGATTTTCCTGATGTGAGACTTTTCTTCTCACAACTTTCACCAGTCACCATGTTATTGTTGAGAGTGATTTTATCACCATTGTAGAGTTTGTGTTCTGGAGGAAAACCATGTTTCCTATGGCACATGTCAGCTATGTGTCCTATACGTCCATAATGAGAGCAAAATTTAGTATTGTAATTAACAAATCATTTACCAGTTTTATTCTCACGGTTTGAAGGAAACCCATGCTTCCTATAACACACACTTGCAGTATGACTCGTACGTACACAATCAATATAGTGAATAGAGGCAACAACAACATTTATCACTATTTCTTTAGTGTCAAATCCTACATTGATGAAGAAATTATTCCCTGCAAGTTGTCTCTCTTGCTGAGACACATAGGAGAAAATTTTAGAAAGAGATGGTAAGGATCCATGAGAAGAACGTGTGAACCAAAATTATTGTACTGTTCATTTAATCCTCATAAATACTGCATAGCTTGATCTTCATGTTTTCGTTGAGCAAATATAGACGAAACAGTAGAAGTGCATTTGGATTGACAAATACAAATTGGATCTGGTTTAAAATTTGTAAGTTCGTCCCAAATAACTCAACTTAGTATATTTAAGCTCACCTTGCTTCATAGATGAGACTTCGAATTGTAAATCAGGGACACAAAGAATATCACCTTGAGAATATCTGGATTTCAAATCCTTATAGATTTCATAATGCTTTGTCGGATTGAAAGATAAACATAATGAACAATCCATGACACAACAATATTATTGCATCGATGTCATGCTGCATATGTTAGATCCGACTTTGGTGGTCAATGAGCATTGTCATCAATAAATTCAATTTTGTTTTTAGCAATAACAGTAGTGATCATGGATCTGCTCCTGTGTGGTAGTTACTAGAATCAAGAACAGGTGAGACTAGGACAATGGTTAGGTTTTCACTTGGGTATAAAAACAAGTGGTTGTTGATATTAAAAATATGCATTGTATTTTTACTCATGATGATAGTAGAAGTTGGAGATGGGAGTGCAAAGCATAGCTCTTTGAAGAGCTTTGATATCATAATAAACATATGAGACCAAAAGTAATCTCTATACACTGTCATGCCAAAAACTCATAAAGTAAAAGAAGGGAAAGGAAAGAAACATATATAGTGACGTGTAATGACCAAAAGAAAATCTCTTGTATTTTGGAGAGTGAAATGATATATATTTATAATAATAATAAAGTTAAAGGATAGAATAACAAAAAGTGGTTACAATGAAAAAAATGGAAGAAATATGGATGTTCAATTATGTGCGATTCTGTTCAAAAAATATAATTCTATTGTAGAGTTAAGAAACAATGGAATGAATTATGCAAAACTAGAAAAATAGTTATTTAAAATGTATCAACCTCATTGGAATGCATTTCTTCATCAATTTATCACGTTTAAATAGTTAGTGAACTTAGTTCCACTTTTTATCATCATGATTTAGGCTAAGTGAAATCTAAGATGAGAAATTATAAAATTATTCCGATCAAAATCATCATACAATATAACTCAAACCAACAGGTTTCAAACTCTTCAAATTAAACTTAATATATACACTAGAACATTGTTATCCCAACTCAGACTAGTTATACCCAACTTAGTCTAATTAACTTGTAAATTTCAAACTAATTTTCTTATATTCAATTTATTATACCATCTTATTTATGTCAATTTATTAAATACAAATACAAAATTTGCAAACTCGAGATTAAATTACCATGCTCAAACCATGATTATTATTACAATTCAATACCATATCATACTCCCAATAATTAAAAAACAACATCAACTCATTATCAAACTTCATTCATAATAAAATCACAATTTCATTAACTTCATAATCACTACTAGAAAAAATCATTTTAGCGACCGAAAAAATCGGTCGCTAAATCAATGACAAAGTTAATTATTTTTATTTATATATATTTATTTAATTTACCCCTTTCTATTTATCTAGAAACTCTCCTACCTCCTTTTATATTTTTTAGAAGTTTGATTTATTAAAAGATTATTTGTCGTGATTCAAACCCAAGTACCTTAGAGTTGGAGACTAAAACTCCAACCACTAAGCTACTAAAATTTTTCAATAATTACTTACAAAAAAATTATATTTATATACAAACAAATGTATATATGTATAAATATATATAAATATAAAATATATAAATACAAATATATTTACATATTTAAATATTTAAATATTTAAATATTTATATATTTATATGTTTATATATTTATATGTTTATATATTTATATGTTTATATATTTATATGTTTATATATTTATATGTTTATATATTTATATGTTTATATATTTATATGTTTATATATTTATATATTTATATATTTATATATTTATATATTTATATATTTATATATTTATATATTTATATATTTATATATTTATATATATTTATATATGGATATATTTATATATTGATATATTTATATATTGATATATTTATATATTGATATATTTATATATTGATATATTTATATATTGATATATTGATATATTTATATATTTATATATTTATATATTTATATATTGATATATTTATATATTGATATATTTATATATTTATATATTTATATATATTAATATATAGATATATTTATATATTTATATATTGATATATTTATATATTGATATATTTATATATTGATATAATGATATATTAATATATTGATATATTTATATATTAATATATTTATATATTTACATATTTATATATTAATATATTGATATATTTATATATTGACATATTTATATATATCTTTATACATTTATATTTTTATACATTTATATATTTATATATTTACATCTTTACATATATTTATATTTTTATATCTTTACATATATTCAAATCTTTATATCTTTACATATATTTATATACAAATAAATGTATTATATCTTTATATACAAATAAATGTATTATATCTTTATATCTTTATAACTTACAAATAAATTATATTTATATACAAATATTTATATATATATGTATAAATATATATAAATATAAAATCTATAAATAAAAAATATATTTACATATTTTAATATATATTTAAATATTTTTATAGTTATAGTTATATATTTATATAGTTATATTTATATATTTATATATTTATATATTTATATTTTATATTTATATATTTATATTTATATCTTTATATTTATATCTTTATATCTTTATATCTTTACATATATTTATATATTTACATATATTTATATCTTTATATATTATATCTTTACATATTTATATCTTTATATCTTTATATCTTTATATATATATATATATATATATATTTATATCTTTATATATTTATAAAATATATTTAAATATTGATATATTGATATATTTACATATTTACATATTTATATATTTAAATATTTATGTATTTACATATTTATATATTTACATATTTACATATTATATATTTATAACTTTATATATTTACATATTTATATATTTATGTATTTACATATTTATATATTTATTTATATCTTTATACATTTATATCTTTATATATTTATACATTTATATATTTAAGAAAAAATTAAAAAATTAAATATTAAATTTTAAAGTAATATTATATTTTTAAAAATAAATATTAGAAAAAAGTTTAAAAATATATATAAAATATATTTACATGTACAAAATATTAAAGATATATATTTATATCTTTAGATCTTTATATCTTTACATATATTTATATCTTTATATATTTATATCATTATATATTTATATTATATATTTACTTGTACAAAAATATTAAAGATATATATTTATATCTTTACATATTTATATATTTATATCTTTATATATTTATATCTTTACATATATTTATATCTTTATATATTTATATCTTTATATTTCTACATATATTTATATCTTTACATATTTATATATTTATATGTTTATATATAAAGATATAAAGATATTAATTTTGTATACAAATAATATTATAGTATAGTATATTATACTATTAGTATAGTATACAAATTATATATTAGTATAGTATACAAATTATATATTAGTGTAGTATAGTATACAAATTATCAGTTTTGTAATTTATACACAATGTAATTTATACACAATGAAAATAATATAATGGAATATTAGTATAGTATAGAATATTTGTATTCTAATTTTTAATTAAATTAAAATTATGCTAATAATGTATAATAATATATGATGGGATAATAAATTTAATCCAATTACTTTTATAAATATATAAATATAAAATCTATAAATACAAATATATTTATATATTTTAATATATATTTAAATATTCATATATTTATATATTGATATATTGATATATTGATATATTGATATATTTATATATTGACATATTTATATATTTATATATATCTTTATACATTTATATCTTTATACATTTATATATTTATATCTTTACATCTTTACATATATTTATATCTTTATATCTTTACATATATTTATATCTTTAAATCTTTACATATATTTATATCTTTATATATTTATATCTTTATAAAATCTATATATACAAATATATTTATATATTTTAATATATATTTAAATATTGATATATTTACATATTTATATATTTATGTATTTACATATTTATATATTTATATATTTACATATTATATATTTATATATTTACATATTTATATATTTATGTATTTACATATTTATATATTTACATATTTATATATTTACATATTTATATATTTATTTATATCTTTATATATTTAAGAAAAAAATTAAAAAATTAAATATTAAATTTTAAAATAATATTTTATTTTTAAAAACAAATATTAGAAAAAGGTTTAAAAATATATATAAATTATTTTTACATGTAAAAAATTTTAAAGATATATATTTATATATTTATATCTTTACATATTTATATATTTAAGAAAAAATTTAAAATATAAATTTTTACACAATGAAAATAAATTATAAATATTATAATATAATGGTATATTAGTATATTATAGTATATTTGTATTCTAATTTTTAATTAAACTAAAATTACGCTAATAATGTATAATAATATATGAGGGATAATAAATTTAGTCCAATTACTTATTTATATATATATATATATATATATATATATATATATATATATATATCCATTTTTAACTTTTTATTTTTAAACTTCTCAAATTCTACATTGTTTTTAAACTCTATCATTTTTACTATATTATCATCCTCATTTCCTCCCATATTCTATTTTATCTTTATAATAATTAGGCAAAAAATAATTAATCCAAAAATATAATAATGATAAAAATATTATAAAAAAGAGTTCAAAAATGTATTTAATATTTTCAGTTTCAGTTTAATTATATTTTTAATTCTCAAAGTAGAAAAATATATTGTAATTATTTTAATTTAATAAAATATAATTTAAATTTTTAATACTAAAATTAAAATATTAAATAATAATAAATTTAATTCTTTAAATTTAGTATTTAAAAAATAAAATTATAGTTTCTCTATTTTAAAAAATTAAAATAAATATTTAAAAATAAAAATAAAAACTAGTATTCTCTTAAATTTATTAAAAATATAATTAAATCTCTATTTTCTTATGCAATTTTAGAAATTTTTTAATAAAAATCCAATATATAAAAAAGTTGAAATTTTAAAAAGGTACAACCTTAATTTATATTAACTATTTTTTTGAAAAAAGCTGACAAGAAAAACTTGGCTTTGAAAAAAAAAGTTAATAATTTTGAAGTTATTTAAGTGATGAAGTTTCCAAATGTGATCTATAAATTTATTGAGCAAAATTAGAGGTATGTTGAATATAAATTTAAATATATTTTTAATTTATTTAAATATGGTTTATTTTTAGTATCTATAAAATAGTAGCAACCTTATTCACGACAACATACACTCCTGAGCGAGACATAGACCCTTACTTGATCTGAGGCCATCTAACAATGAGTTCATATTCTTCTAAGGTTGGTACTAAATCGAACTGCGAAAACTCAAAGCAGTGCAGATTGAGATTCCAGAAGTGGACCAATGCTCTAACAAAGATAGGATCGATGCTGATTTTCAGGAGGTCAAGAATCCTTCCATAAGATTTCTCAAAATTAGCACTGACCTCCGACGGCATATATGAGCACAACTGTCTTAGCTTCTCTACACGACATAGAAGGATTTCCACTTTCTTTAACTGTCTATTACAGGATCCCTCCATTATCTAAAAGAAATGAAAATGCATGATATGAGGATGAATCTTTGTAAATGCATGTATGCAAGTGTTTGTTTTTTCTAAGTATTATCATGTTTTATTCTTAGTATGATATATGATAATGCTTGGTTTTTTCTTAAAAAGGAAACTATCTATATGGATGTTTATGGATTTTGATGAGGAGATTCCTATTTTCTACTCTTATTATTTTTATGAACAAATGAATCATAAGACTTTGTCAAAAAAAATTTATTGTAAGAGGTATTTTTATGGCTTTAATTGTTTTTTATAATTTTTACTATTTTTGTCTGTTGTATGATTACCCTACGCCAATGCATCAATAAAAATGCAGTAAACGAATGCACACACAATTCACTCATCCACGAGCAGAGCCATGCTAATTTCGAGGTAGGGTTTTCCTGCAGAAATGTGCTTGGTTAAGGCGGTTCTAAACTGTTCTCACCAAGGCCAAAGGTCCCCAAGGTGCTCCCATTATAGGGACCTCTCAATCTATCAGTCTTCGGGTCATGCACGGAACTCCGTGTCGACATCCTTGGACCAAAAGAAGAGAGTTATCACCTTGAGCTAGTGGTTTTCCGACAACGGTTGTAGCCTCGTGTGCCAACAAGCCAGTCGTATCTGCCACCCACTCCCTATAGGTATTCACTCTTGCCCCCGGTATAGAGGGACTGTTGTGTGCAATGGTTTTTGTGTACAATTTATATTTCAGACAATTTGTAGAAAATATTCATACAGCAGTTATTAAAGCCATACAATAAACATACAAAGAAGGGTAAAGGCGTAATTTCAAATCTTCACTTAGTTTGAATTTATCCATCACTAAATGGGATCAACTCTCTAGCTTCCCCAGTGGAGTCGCCAT